ATATATATATATATATATATATATATATATATATATATATGGTGAACTTTCTGAACCAGCTGACACACATTGCCGGATTTCAGTATTTCTATTGATCCCCTTGATTACTGCACATCTCAGTATAACATGGAACAAAGTTAGATGAAAATGATATGACTAGACAGTTTAATTTCAAGCTGATGCTTTTCTTTCAGTGATCTTTGCTTTTCTTGTCCTTCGTTTTCTGTTAATACAATAATTGTGCACTTGTCTTTTCCAGAACGCCCACAAGTTGAATCATCGAGTTCCTTTTTCATTAAAACCGACTGACCTTAAGATGTTGGAACATTTTGTTGTGCATCTTTTTAGACACCTTACAACTCACAACTAGTCACTTGAAGAGCTGAAAAGCCGTGGAAATACTATATTACTACATCCTGATTCTGATTCTTCAACGACAATAAATAAACCCCGAGCTTGTGCCTAATCCAACCCGGACATGTAGGATTGTGGAGTCCCGCATGTCACCATCACCACCACCAGGGCACCCGTGCTGAAGAAAGTGGTCGACCTCCATAGAATACGTTGGTTGGGGCTTGTGTTACGTATGTCACCAAATAGGTTGCCACGGCGAGCGATGTTCGCCGAGGCATGTAGCGGGTGGAATAAAGCCCAGAGTGGTCAAGCTAAGACCTGGCATGAGGGTATGAAAACCCTAACCAGGACGCTGGGTCACAAAGGTACCGTTAGGCTCCCGGGAGACACTGAGTGGTATGGCTGGGTGTCGTATACAGTGGCGTTCGTGCATCTTCTCAATTTCTCTTTATCATTAGTCCACTGAACTTTTCAATTTTCTCTTCGAACCTACTTTCAACCTTTCCTGTCTTTCTTTCTAATGTTCATCCAAATGGGCAGCCGGAAGATAGCAAACAAAACCGGCACACGGTAGTGCATGGTTGATGGTTATACAAACTGAAACTGAAACCCGTGCTGGTTCCAGTGATTGGTTTCACACCACTACAAAATTGGTTGCTCATTTAGCGTGTCACAAACGAGAACCCATGCTTCAGGGAGTTGATTTCTGTTTAGTTGACATTAGTCGTCCTCTAACGACAAAGACGGATACCACTTGCGACTGCGTTGGCGCACTGTTTACTATCGTCTGCAGAAATAGGCTATTGTAGTCAAGGAAGCCCATCTGGAGAGAAGGTTGGTTCGACAGTAGGAAGGGAAATGTTCACGTTTTCAAGTTCGGTACCTATAACTGCACATGTGCAGGCAGAAAAAATCAAGCAACTGTTTGCAAATAACGGGCTTTTACAGCCGTCTACAAGTCGGGTAAAATAGAGGAGTTTTCGTTAGTAAGTACGCCACGTCATTACGTTTAGCCCAAAAACGAATGATCTCCGAGGAGGGTTCCGGTTTGCACCCAGTTTTGAGTGCTTTTCATTTTGTTGCTTCGTCATAGCTCATACATGTGCGCATTCAGCACACATTCAGCGAAATCTGTAGTAGTCTTAGTGTGATCAATTTCATAATGTTGGAATCACTCCCTCGGTCATGGATGGCGTATTGTCTCATATGAGAAATCTATTACCCGATCCAGTATCTTTGAATCCCGTTCAGATTTATTGAAGGTTGAATGGGCTCCTAGGGATCCATCAGCAACCATGCATCAACACAATGTCACTTCGCATTTCGTTCTATGTTAGTCTCTCCCTACCCTGGTGATATTGATCCTTTTACCCCTCCCTCTTTTATGTTTTGTCTGTTTTTAATGTATTTTGCCTTACTTTGTTGCCATGCTAAAGCCCTATATAAACACTGTATT